TATGGGCGGGAGATAATTTGGCAACCGGATTACTGGGACACCCTCGTGACACTAATTCGTTTTTTCCACACCAATGACTGTTTTTTTTCAACCTGTCGTTCGTTCTTCCCACAGAATCGGAACTCATCGAGTGGACGGACGAGACATTAGCGTTGCCGTTGCACGAACGAAGTGTGATCTGTTTGCGGCAGGCCATGATCACATTTGACAAAGTGGTTCGGCGTTCTGCGGCTCAACGTTTCCTGTACTACCCGCCGGAATGGGCTTCCGCTTGAGATCAAATTATCCGATGCCTTCTGTATATGCGTGTGAATAAACTTTCTTTCTTTTTATGACAAGCGTTCATTGTCTTTGCTGAGAAAGCACACTTTGGGAGTCATCGTAAGCATCAAGCTGGATGTGTGTTCAAGCAGATGTCTCAATTAGGTACTATCCAACTGACCTGTTTACTTTATTCCTAATGAAGTGATTCAGTTATGCAACACAGATTACGCTTCTCTGCATCAGCCTAGTTGCGCTATATATATATATTTCACACACGCCTGATGCCAGACTGCGTATCAAATAAATCGTGGTACAACAATCTTTATAAAAAAAACAAGAATGCTGCAGGATTTGCAAGTGTGCCGAATACTGCCAGGTTGCCCAGGCCAAGGCAGGTGGATTTTCTTGGGGAATCTACAAACGAAGCCTGATCCGTAATTCAGTTGCGAAAATTGCAGTCCATTGGGAGCCGGTGTCCAGTTCATCGGATTAAACGCCCTTCGGACAGGGTCAGACGTCCAAGGTGCCCAGTACACCTCGATGCCCAATCGAGCCGGTGACCACTGCCACAACCGAAAAGGTGTGGGTGTGGTTCGTACGCCTCCTTTTGGTTGATTTGGAATCAGGGTTTTTAGCCAACTCCCCTAGGTGAACTTCCAGTGGTTCACCAACCCGGTTATAGCCCCGAATATCGGCTTTTCGTCCTCTCACTTTCGTGAAAAAATACCTCCGCCACGAGAAGGCAGTGAGTAGAACTTCCTCAACAAAGGCTTTTTTCGAGACGCTTGGTCGTATTGGAGCATTTCGCGCGGTGCAAGGGACGGGCGACCAGCCGCAACCCTAGACACTCACCCCTGACTACACTGAGGGTTTCGGAGGCAGTTGCGAAAAAATCTTTTCATGATTCCTAATGTGAACCATCTTGAAAATTCAGCCTTATCCTATGTGTATACCAATAGCCCGGCTACAGTAGCCGTGGGTCCCTTAGGCTCGCCCTCGAAAATTAAACAAAATCATTCATTCCTCTAGATTAAATTGAGTTTAGATTTTCTGCCGATATGGGATAACTCAGAGGAAGAAACATCTATATTTTGTTGCATGAGACTAGCGGAGGATTTGATGTGATTGGATGGTGAATTTCTTCGTGTACCAAGCGAGTGTAATGGGAGCTGAAGAGCCAGTGTAATGTGCTTGGACTCGTGTATGCGGTATGATGTCCCTCATGAACGAATGCACCGAACTGCTGTATGTGGGTCGGGTCTCGTGTTAGCTGGAACTGTCGGTGGAGAGGTTGAACTGACCATCTGCGGGAGAGCGAAATACGAACACCATAAACCACACGGCCCAATGAGACACGAACACGACTTACACTCGAACGGAATGGCAAGTTGTCAAGGTCGGGACCCAATAGAAAGCGTTGGGCTACCCCGTGAACAAGTGAGAGCAGTACGCTCGCATTTTACCTGTGACGGGTTCTTGAACCTCAGTTGGGTCAATGGATCCGCAATCCTGCTGAGATCCAACAAGGTTGAAACAGATGTTCAATGCTTCCTATAACCTATGCTTTGGTTGATAGTGTGTTCAATTCCGCCGGGTTGTGTCTTAACAATCATCATCCTCCGGTTGTAGGTCCTAACTGACAGTGAACGTAAACAGATTTCAATGGTTTTATATATGTGAAAGACTCAGGCGTTTTTCGCTCATTTCTGATTATGATCTTCATGTGTGTTACTCAGAATCGTTGCATTTTGCCGGCTTTCGTCTATCCACAACATTTCACTCGGTTCACAGTTCCGGAGCGTGCTAAGAGTCGGCCACACGAGGTGTAATGCGTAACAATGCAGTCACGTCTGTGACAATTCAATAGTTATACGATCACAAATATCGGTTCAGCCAATTAACCGCTCATTCGGGAAGCACGAGATTCGTGTTTCGCTATCCCTAGAGGTCGTCAATAGTACCTATCCAACATCCCATCCGGGCTTTGAATTTCGGACGAATTACATGCAAGGCTCCGTGCGTGTGTGTGTGTGCCAACCAGCTCACACCGGAGCTGATGAGAATTGTGTTCCTGTTCGTTCAATAATCACCTTTAGAGATATGGTCCGAAGTTCAAAGTATATTGGACAGGTTGGCGTATATGCGCTACTGATGAGCTCTGATAAGAACAAAACTATACAATGGGATATTGTTTTCTGAAGATGGAGTCGGACGAATGAGTATTGCAAATCAGCAGCATTTACTCACAGTTAACTGTAAGTTGAATGCAAACTAATCAACCTTTTTTGCTAGTGTTCATAGACACTGGGGGCATTTCGTTATTTAGAATAATTACAGACTCCTAAGAATGGATAAATTTCAAGCGCATTTAGAATCCAATTATATTAGAGCAGTCTCTCTGTATCATCGACCGGTTGCCTCATGGATGTAATTTATTCCGGCGTAGTAGCGGCACTAGTACACGGAACACACGACTGCTTCTGAGGGATGGAGTGAGGTGGTTCGTGGTCGCTCATATAAAGAATAAGTATTGCTGGAGTTGTTCTGGATGTAAAGGAAATATTACATTTCGGGTAGAGCAAATTGACGAGTTGATGTCAACTTGATGAAGTAATTAGCCAACAGATTTTCTTAGAAGTTTTTAGCCTATCTATTTTTCCAGTTCTGAATCTTTACCGAAGATCGGCCGGTTTGATTGACCAAAGTGAAAAGATGGACTCAAATTTTATAATCTGATGTTGAATGTGGTCCTGCGTACGCCGCGGCAAATCCGCGGAATATAGGTATGAAATCTGTATCGCTTGCATTCCTGTCGTATTAGCGGAACGCACCATCTTTCAGTTTCGGACGAGAATATACCACCCACGATAAAAGTACTGACCCCCCCCCACACACACACCCCACCCCATTAACTTTGCCCATTGAAGCCGCCTGTATGAGATTTCTAATCATGTCCTTGTTGATTTTATTTCCCTCTTTAATCAAAAACGTAACTAATTCGTAGTTTGTGTTGTAAACTCTCGATAAGAATGGCAGAAATGCTTGCTGTTGGGTTCCAATCTGAGCTGCACGCAATTCGCACCATTGTTTTGATGTCACGAAATAGTAACCGGCATTTTGTTAGATGCGAGTGATGAACTATGACGATACCGTGACGGAAAATGACTTCAGCTTGATCATTCAAAGCTAGCATAAGGTACCATTTCAATGTACGAATTTTCGCATTCGAATGTTTCACTCTATGCAACATAACTAGTTCGGTGGGGCCGTTGCATATGAAAACATCCTATGTCATTACTAATCCGCCTACAGAGCTGCAAATGTTTTCATAGATCATAATAGTAGTAGTACCACGCGTCGGGTCCATCTAATTTCATTTTCTTTTCGCCAATACATCAGACGGAATTTGTTGGGACAACGATCAATGCCATTCATCCCACGGTAAGCCCGCCTGCATACTTGCTAATTCTGTGAACAAAATCAAACAACTTTACAACACATTCGACCCAAATTAGGGTCATCGGGGATCAATTCTATTCTCGCGGAAATAAATCAATAATATTGCGTCGTACGGCAATATTCTCTCTCTCCGTCCGTTTGGTCCGTAGCCTATGACCGGCTCACTGTGTATTTCATTGGTACATTCGTTTTCTTGCATTGATCAATGTTATTTTCAGTCACATATAAGCAGCAGAGTAAAACTTATAAATTGATTCGCGCCTGGTGACTGGTTTTCAACGCCATTAAAATTCCGTGCTGTTGAAGTCGTGTATTCTCTCGCGTGCTTTTGGGAGGCCTGAGAGATTGATAGCCGACCGTGCGTCCTGTGTTTCGCCTGGTTAGCTCCTGCGCCTAGACCCATGATCCGCTCATGGACTTAGTGTTAGTCTGCTGATCTCGTTTCCCGTGTGATACTGTTGTTACTGTGCCATATATTGTGTTCTTTGCACTTGTGGTGTTCTTCTGTTATATAGTGCTGTGCGACCTGATAGTAATTGCATGAGTTTCAGATCGCAGATCAAAGTCTGTCTTTTGAATTGGGATCCATTCAGTCGCCTGGGTGGGATTCGAACTCACGCACAGACGCCGCCTACGCCTCGAATCCCACCGGGGCTATTGAACTTTTCACAATTCAAAACATAGGGCTTAAATCCGCCGAATCCGAAACCATACATGACAATCTACCCTTGCCCTTCCCAGGACCTTTTCCCTAGATCAAAACTGTTTTTGATTGGGTTTTAGCTGTTTCCGCTTCGAATATCATGCCACAGTATGATGGGGACCTATTACATCGTCTGGTCATCTCATGTGTGCTGCCATGAATCTTACAAACTGTATCAGTTCCGTAATTCGCGTTATCAGTAAATCTCCTCCATGGCTCCATGATTGGCAATATCTGTATTGACTGTAATCTTCCAAGGTCATCTAAAGCGACGTGAGCTGGCGTCACTAAGGTGTTACATGACCGTAGCTTACATCAGCCTGTCAACCACTGATTCGTCGCGGTTCTGGTACTGATCACTTTGCAAAGAACCTACTAAGCTGCCACATTAAATCTCTATCCCATCACACGGACTATCTCCCTGGCGTTATTCAAAGATTGTCACTCAGTCAATTCTACCTGCGATTGCATTTACGACTTCTGTTGCAGCTGCAACGAAGCATACATAGATTGATAGAACCGGCTAATCAGTGGGAACAATAGAATGACCGGACACATCCTCAAGTACGCGCGTGATTCAATGACTAGGCAATGACAGCACAGATTCTGACTGTATCACGCAGACCGACTTCGGCTATCGCACACCACTTGGTTGAAAGCGGTCTTGCGAACGCGAACGCGTTCTCGGTTCGGTTACGTCATCGTTAAAAATACCGACTAGGCATACTCGAGCAACCATCGAACGCTCACAACAAACCCACGCTGCGTCCAAAAGCGTATGACCTATACCCTTGGCCTTCCCTGGTAGTAACCAATCCCGTGCATCATACATATACACACAGTACACAA